GGCAGCAGTTTAAGCAGGTGGCATGTTTTATGGCTAGTCAGGGGGGGACTGCTAGGAATATGACATGGGTGGCAGACAGTGTCAAGCATGATATACAAGCTCAATCCCAGCAAAACATTCTTCAATGTAAGAACCCTTTAACTCTTCTAAAGATTAAGTGCCACCTTTCCAGAGAGTAGAGTGTGTCCGTCATGCTTTCACACTGGTGTGCGCACACCGACATGTGCTCACACATCACACATGAATAGCACAGACTGTGGTACTGCAGTCACCGCAAAGCACCATGGCATTTACCGAAGCTGGATGACGGCATCCACTGGAACAGCAGCAAAGCATAATAGTAACTTAACCAGCAAACTCTCCTCATAAGGTTTCAGTTGGGTAGAGAAGGAAAAAAATGATTTACTAGAAAATACATTTCCCTAGCTTGGGCTGTAATCCCACTGCCACTGAAGGAAGAGATCTACCATGTGTAAGTATTTCCCTTTCCTGGCTCCATAACGGCTGCCATTATAGTTTGCTTATTCTTACTGAGATCCTGCTCGACATTGCAGCCTCCACCCCTTTTCACTGTTCTACCATATACAACTATGAGGTCTAGGCAAGGAATTTGCCCCCAGTTCACTGGAGAACAAGCAGAGCCTTTGAGTTCTGTTACCTTCCTGCCTAAGATTGTGTGGTCCTGGCAGAGATCTGGGGCAGGCATGAATCATGGTGTACTCTTCTCTCAGTATATGGGCATGAGCGTGGTGCAGAGCACAAATCTCCACATGTGACTTTAGCAACACAGAAATCTGTTACACAAGAGTAGGATCAGTGGCCCTCTCTGCACATAAACAGTATTATGCAACTAACTGGTTAATTGTGCAATTACCTTAAGACCAGCTATACCTGCAAAGTAGCTATCGCATGACAAATAGCTCCAACCAGCTATAAATTTAGACCTCAAAAATGCATACTAACTTTATAGCTGGTTGCTATCAACCTTTATTCAGCTGACAGGGCTCCCAGCTGCAGAGATGCACCTCACCCCGCATGAAACCCCCAAGGTCTGGGGATTGTGGCTGCCATGATCCCTAAAGCTTGAGGGTGTGTGAAACCTACAGCCCACTCAAGTCTCTCAGTCCCAGTTGCATGTGATCTCACAGCTGGGGGCTCCCAGAGATGGAAGCCTGCTTGTTGTCAGTGCAGGGGGAACCCAATCCTGGGCTCTCCCTGCATTGGCAATAAGACATGATTGGATCTAAAATGCGATCCCACAGTTGTGCCTCCTGCCATATACGTTTGGCATGGCAGGAGGCGCAATTGTGTGGAGCATGCAGTAGATCTAATCATGCCTTTATCTGCACATGTAGAGGGGGCCAGTGTCACAAGGTTAGCACACAGCTCAAACCCAGGGATTCTCTGTGAGCATCCTGGTTACAAGCCATTCTCTAATGAAACCTGCAATGCATCCCAAAGGGATGCTGGTCATTTACGGCAGATGTGACTGGCTCTTTGCCCACTCCATCTCCTCCCTACCACAGAAGAGCCGAGACTGCACTTTAAGGCCCTATCTGGGGCATATCTGCATGAATAAGAACTCACCAAACAGGTCCTTCAAAAGCCAGTGTGCGCCAAAGGGAGCCATGACACCTCCAATTTCTCTGGAATGGCCCATTTAAAGGGTGCAGCGTGCAACTCTATATGCAGGGCCACTTTAACCAGGCATTACAGAGTTGGGTGAGAACCCATGGGCTAGGAACAGACATTACACATAAACTGGGTTAAGTGATCAGAAACTGGTTTAAACCTATAACAGAACAGCTGTTCAGTGCACATAAAGCAGTTTGAAAATGGCTGAAACCGGTTTGAGATAAACCATGCTGAATGTAGTATCAGTCTTAACTGATTTGGCTCAAACCAATTTATGCAAAGTCTGTCCCAGACTCCTTGCTGGTTTATGATAAACCAGACTCCCCCAGCATCCTGGCATGCTCTCTGGGCTGGGCAGGGCTCTCTGCTCCACAGCAGGGCTGGCTCCTGCCCTCTGCTCCCTGGCTGCAGCTCTGGCAGAGACTTTCAGGCTGTTCCCTGCCCCCCTACCCACCACCACTACTCCCTGCTAAGCAGCAATTCCCCCCTCCTCTCTGCCTTGCAGAGACGTGCCTGTGAATTAGCTAGCAGACCACATGCTGGTTACAGTCCGTGCTGAATCAACAGGTAGCTGATAATGTCCCTCTGTTGTTTTCTTAATGGGGTGATAAACACTGTTATCAATTCCCTTCTGGGCTAATCAGAGCACCCTGCTAAGGCCTGGCCATGCCCCGCCACAGCTCAGTACTGTGGAAGGGAAGGGAGGGCTGCTCTAGCACGCTCTGGCTTCTAGCCTGAGTACTCCCTCACACTACGATGGCATCTGGTTCTCACTTAGAAATGCCAAAGGGTAAAGGAGAGCTCCTGGTATGCTCGAAACAAGCAATTCCCAAAGGCTCTGGCAATTAAGGGCAGTCTGTGGAAACAAAGCAGCAGCTCAGAGGAATGCAAGGTTAAGAATTCAGACCAAGTAATTTTCACAGCAAATGAATATGGAGCCAGTACTCACCAACAGAGCAAATGTCTGTGAAATGATCCTCACCTTCTTCAGCATGAATCAGATCATTTTTGCTCTTCTTTATTGTAGCTCTTTTCAACACTGCATGCAAATTAAAAAAAAAAAAAGCCAAGCAATATGTTTTTTGTAGTGGATTCTCTCCTTTCTCTGCCTCTCACTCTCTAGGACCTGTATTTACTTCCCAATGCCATTTTAAAGCTGCTGCACAAGGATAAGCTGTAGCAAATCGATCAGCCTACAGCTTTGCACTGGGGCCTCCGCATGCTTTGATGTCAGGGTCATTATTTATTTAATCTTTTAGATCTTGAAGGCTTGCCAGGAAAGAATTCTGCCCACCTACACTTCATTGTAACTGAAGTGGGAAGATGGGGAGAGCAAACATATCAGATGGGTTTCTTTGAGTAGAAGAGAGATGGCTCTTGCTTAATGGAAAGATTCTGAGCCGTGACAAGATATGAAACAGGAGCTCTATTATCTATTAAAAACATTAATACTGCTTTTCTAGAGCATGTAGCTTTTTTAAAAAAAAAACCAACAATGTTTTTCTACCCCTGTATCATTTGGAAATACCACAGCAAAAGCAAATTCTAAAGATATTGTGAATTTCTCCTCCTGCACGATATCTTCCAACTGGGGATGTTGTGACACTGAAAACATCAACCTGGTCCAGAACGGTCTTTGTAGGACAGTAGTTCTATCACTGTATCATTCCACAAATGGGGAAATCAAAGCACAAAGATTTACTGACTTGCCCATGGACACATCACATATCAGTAGTGAAGCCATGAAAATAATGGAAGTGCTGATTTCCAGTCGCTATTCTGAGCCCTACACATAGGTGATGCATAGCGGGGCACATGCCTCCCAGATTTCTGTGCCAATAGTAGGGCCTGGCTGGAGCCAGGGCCCTGCAGCAGCAGGAGTGGCGGCGCAGAGTTGTCCCCCGACACTGTCAACACTTACATATTGTTTATAGCCCTAGACTACCTACCTTGGAATTGTGAGAACTACTAGGAAAAAATTATACAGTTTTGGTAACAGTTTAAAAACAATACAATAATTAAATACAGCTTGATAACAGCAGTAAGACACTCCATGGTGTGGTGATACATACTGTCCACTAAGTGCACATATAAAACTATACTCAGGATAATCAAGGTTTAGACTAATGTGAAAAGCAGACTCTTATCCTAAGCAAACTACACTGACATGACTAAGCAAGAAGTGCACCACCTCATCAGTATCTGACATCTTCTCATAACTGTTGCATGATTCAATTTAGAGAAAGGACCAAGCAGAACTCCCAGATCCATAAGCCTCAGAATGCTAGAGTTGGAAGGATACCCCAAACTGTGATCTGAAAACAATTTTTGCAAACATATTACCATGAACTACTATGAACTAAACAACAAACCTAGACCCCAACTCTTCCCAACATTGGGTCATGTAAGGTCTAGGTCTTAATTCTGCAGCCTAAGCCCATCTTGATTTTATTTACATTACTCCACTCTCTTCAAACTGGGTTTTGAAAAGCTGGGACAAACAACACATTAACACCAGTGTTTTATATACTGGTGTAAATTACTCCAGGGTCTATGGAAGACAATTGAGCATCTTATACCAGGGTAGCAGACTGCAGGCTGCTATTAATGTGTCATGTCAGCTGGTAGCAGGGGAGCTAATAACAGCCTGTTTGCACTAAGCAAATGGCTACTTCGCCATTTGTGTGTCTACAATGTACTACTATACCTCATTGGTGTAATTTTATACTTGATTCTTTCAGGAGCAATTTTACACTGGTTTTGGTGACATTACCCTGGTGCAGAGGTTTTCATCATTTGTCCATTCCTGGTTTACACTGGTATAAAGGTCAGTTAGACTGATGTAAATGTGATATGCATCCACACCCCCAAACAGATACTTGTTAAAAAGAGGAATGGGTCATACTGGTGTCATCCAAGTGCTATGAAAAACTTTCACCATCCCAAAATTGCCTCATTTCTGAACTGCTGCACTCCTTGCTTTTCCATTCCTGGGCCTCTTTAAGCACAGATCACCAGACATGCCAAGGCCTGCCAGAATTCAGGCTAAGTGTGTATGTTGGATCAGTGGTCATTTAGGATTAAATCCCAGCAAACACTGGTAACCAGCGACCTTGATACTCAAGATCTCCTCAGGAAGCCACAAGTGAAAAGCATTAACCCACTGTGCCACCTAAACCCCTGTTGATTTTCAATCCACTCACTGTTGTAGCTGCTGCCGCCGCTAGTCTCCGCCGGTGCCGTGCCTGGTTGAATCGGCCCTTCGGAGGCGGCCCTCCCTGACAGTGAATGGGAGGAGAAAGAAGAAGAAGGGAAGGGGAGGGGAGGGAAGGGAAGAGGAGGAGACATGGGAGGACGAAAGATTGTCAGAAAAGGGAGAGGGAAGAGTCTTTAACTGAAGTTTCACTGACTGTAACTTCCTTAGAGGTCGGTGTCTGAGGCACAGGGAGAACAGTCTCCATATTCTCACTGCACCTGTGCTGAACAGTGCAATATCTTGAGTCATCCTACGAACACTGTACCACTAGGAGCTGTACAAGTACTAGACATTAGATAGGATCACCACACCCTGTTATGTCTTACTGCTTACAAGTAACAGGGGTCTTATAGTCTGTTTACCAAATCCATTTGGAAGCTTAGATTTAGAGCCCTGCCTTCTTACCCTTACTTCTTCGCTGCTGGTATCCACACTGAAGCTTTTATCTCAAGGCTACAAATAGACACATTCCTCTGTGCTATCCATAGGCTGATAGGTGCCCCATTCATACTATAGCCCTGTAATTAGAATGGGGACTCTGGAAGATCTCAAATGTGGATCCCCTTTCCAGACTAACATATCACATAACCACTGATCATCCACATGGAAGCTCGAGAAGGCCCTGCATAGGAAAAGGGAATTTTTAGCTGGACTCCCTCCAAGGCTAGGATGAGTGTTTTCAAGTGCATGCAAAGGTACAGTGCCTATGACCCTCTCAGTCGCAACAAAAAACAAATCAGCATACAGCACAAGAACCTCTCACATACTGCAAAAGGAAACGTACAAGGTAAAATGACCTACCATCCAGAGGGGACTTCTCTTCAGCATTCTTATCTTCTTCTGCCAGCATCACCTCTTCTGCAAAAGGGAAACAGCAAGCGCTCAACCTTGGAAATATTGCACTGCCATACTGCCTGGGATGGAGTGTGGGTGGGCATGTACCACAGGTTTCACCAATCTCAGTTTGCCATGCCACATAATTACTGCAAGCTTTTGCATACAGTCTTGAGTAAAAGCCTCAGTCACAATTCTGTTCTCTCCCTCCCACCCCAGTTTCATTCTCCTCCTGCTTCAGGTAAGGAAGTGAGTTATTAAAAACCTTGGAAGACTGACTCTTATTTCCCTGCTCACAAACTTGCTTCCCCCCTCACATTAAACCACCTATTCTGGCAAATAAAAGGGCTGAGCCAAAGCCCTACTTATGCCTTTCTGCCCAGTCTCCACCCTTCAGATTGCAGAAAAGCACATCCAGAGTAGTTGTAATGGGATACAGCAAATCACTTCATGGACAATGGCTTAAAATTGATTGAAAGCAAGACAGTGCTCACTCTGCAGATCTCAGATCTGTGCCAATCTTATTCTCCAAGCCACCCTGTTGTCAGTGCCAGGACTTTAGCCTGTTAGTCACTGGCTCCCCTCCTCAGTAGGAGACATAAGCCACCCTTGCCACACACAGTTGTACACGATGATGCATTGGGATGTCACCAACTGGATAACTGGTGAAAACCTGGCCCTGCTAATCAACAGCAAAACTCCTACATTCTCATCGGCTCGACAGTTCAGCCACTGCAACTTAGTTAAATTATGTATTTCCTATAAAATAGCTTGGCACACACCTTCCTCCCCATATTTATACAAACTGTTGCTAAAATAAGCATAAGTAATTCTACTTTCCTACAACGTATGAACTTAGTACTGACCGAATCTAAAGAATGAAACCTGCTGTGCTTTTCTTGAGTGGGCAGTAGGACAAATATCATAAGGACATGAAAAGAAAACACTGCTGTTTCATTCACAAGAAATTACACTACATAATATTCTATAGCAGCACTTCCAAAATCAGTACAATTCAGATAAACAGGTCTACAATGTTCTGATGTATTTCTGTCAAATAGTGATTTTTTTTTGAGGGGGAGGGTATGTTTAAGAAGGAAAACCTAGAAATCTCCAGTGCCAAATCACTAATAGCTGAACCACACGTGACTTTGCATCATTGTAAACAACAACGTCCTTTCACATTTCTTGATGTCAGTATTGACTGGGATTTTTGTTAAGTGATACAAAATCCTTCTAAAATCTTGCTTGGGGAATTAAAAAAAAGATCAGTTTAGAGTGAAGACAGGCAAAAGAAACATGCTAAATATCAAAATCTGGTGCCAAAGAATCAGTCTAGAAAGGAAGAGGTGTTAAAAACCAATCTTACTTACCATCTTTGTTAATGATCTGGGAGAAGTAGTAAATGCTACATTAATGAAAAGTCACTAAACTGAAAGGACAGAGAAATAACACAAAGGGGATGAGAGAGATTAGAACTGTAAGGAGAAGAGGGCAAATGATACCCAACTTGGAAAATGCAAACCCAGTGCATCTAATGGTAAAAATATGGGGGAGACATATCATCAATGGAAAGAAGAATTTTGGGAAGTAATCGTGCTAAGAGACTTACATGTGATAAAAGCAAATTATACATCAGTCTGCAGTTATATAAGATATCAAAAAGGTCGATAGAATTGGGGAACATTTGCAGAGGCACCAGGTTCATAGAAAGAGAAACCGTTACTCTAAATGGCACAGGTGCATTTCTAATCAGGTAGCGTATTCATTTCTGAATTACTTTGGTATCCAAAAGTTATACACAAAAAGCAGTTTAGAGAAGAGCTGCAAAATTATTTGGGAGTGAAGGGGAAAAATAGAAAAAAAATAGTCCAAACTGAAAGCAGAACAACTCAGAATTGTACACAGTTCAAATCAGGAGAACTGGGACAAACTGAGTAAGGGAATTGTGAATAATTCTGAAATCTCAAAAGGAAAAAGGTGGTGGTCCTATCACTTTGCCCATTCAAAAGTGACCTGAGCAAAAGCCTAGGAAACATGCAATACTGAGCAATCCTGTATTAGCAGAAACATGGCTTATGTACCTTAACACTGTAGGTCTTCCTATATACATTAGGGCTGTGCAAAGCTTCAGTCCCTAATTCAAGTCAGCAGAGATTCGGCCTGATTCAGTGGCCAAATCTCCAAATTCAAATTGAATCAGAGGACCCTTTAATCTCTCCAAATCGAACTGGAACCCTCTGAATTGATTCAGAGAAATTTGGTGATTCGGGCATAGACAACTTTAAATGTTTTTTCTACATACCTCTAGGTAACAGGTGGGTCATGAATGCTGTGATGCTGTGGTGCACAGAGTGTCCCACAGGAGCGTGGGGTGCTCCCCAGTGCGCTCAGCAGCACACCCAGAAGTGCAGCAGAAGCACTTCTGGTCCACTTCCAGGTTCGCCGCCGAGCACGTGTGGGGGGGCCCCCTGTGCTCCTGAGAGACACTCCTCTGCCCAACCACTGCAGCATTCATGAGCTGCACTGGTACCTTGAGGTATGTAGAAAAAATATTTGAAGCTGTGCCTATGTCTGAATTGCTGATTCTCCAAAACAGCATCAAATCTTCAGTTTCATATATGACTGAATTGAATCGGGGACAGCGATCCGAATCAACAAATCGAATCACTGTCCCCGATTCGGGCTGAATCCAAATCGAATAGGGCCCACTTCACACACCTCTACTATCCATAACTTCTGCCACATAGATGTAAGCGACAATGAAAACACAAATTCAAACATCTAAATTTGATAAACCAGGAAAGAGACTAGAATAGATTAAATTATGCCTGTGGGACCTCAGGTAATAAACCCCTGACATGCCAACAAGGGTGAATGCTACAGACACTGAGCTAGAAAATGGTGAGACTCAAGGGACAGTCAGTCTAGACCAGCCTCAGACCTGTTGCAAGTAAGCGTAATTCTGTGAGTTTGCATGTGCTTATGGAAAATCAGATTTAGGCCTAGAAGAGTGAACACTCTGTGATTATGAGCAACCTTGTTTTTTATTTTATTATAGAATCCACTAATTTACATATTGCAGTCCTGTTGCCGTCCCCTCCCTTCCACCTGCCCCAGATCTGATTGACCTGAAACCCCATACAGAACCTACAGTGGATTTATACTGATTTAGAAAAGGAAAAAAAAAACAACCAAACCTCCTACTTCCCCCTTGGTTCCTTGGGCTTATGTCTACTGAGTTTATAGGTAAGATTTTCAAAAGGCTCGTCATCATACTTTGGTATCACTTGAAAGACAATTCCAAGTCTTAGGATGGCCTTTTAGGTCATGTGAACATTATGAAAAAAGCCACAGTGGCTAAGTACAGAGGGTCAAAAAGCCTGAGGCAGAATCGATTCAATTTAGGCAGGTTCCTCTAAGCTGCGTAGGTTGAACCGATAACCAGCTGAACTGATGTTCAGTTTTCAAATGGGAAAGGCAGGGGGAGGCCTGCACAGACCCAGGCCAGTAGATTGGGTGCGCTAGAGCACATCTCCCAGCCTGTGGCCATTGCCAGGCCAGCCAAGTGTCTCCAATTGTCCCCGCCCCCCACCCCCAGCACATGCTCCCAACCCCCTGCTATCCCCACACAAGGGGTTAAGGAGCCCCTGTCTGGGTCCTGGCCCACCTTGGGGGAACCCAGCCTGGGTTCCCCAGCCCAGGCAGCCCTGGGGAGCCAAGGGGCATTCCCTCCTCCCCTTCCCAGCTGCTGATTGCTGCTGCAGCTGCTGCCACAGGGGGGAGGGAAAAGGAGTCCTTTTGACTGAGTGCCAGCCCATGCAGCCCAGCATGGGGGCATCAGGGAGCCCCCACCTTGGGGGGCTCAGGCACCCAGCTGAGAGGACTTCTTCTCCCTCCCCCCTGTGGCAGTCGCTGAAGCAATCAGCAGCTGGGAAGGGGGAGTGGGGAGGGCTGCCAAAGGTTGAAAAGCCCCCACCACAGGGGCTTTCCCTCCCACCATGTGCTGTGTAGACCCTGGCATGGGGGGGTCTGTTCCCCTCTCCCCCCTCTCCCCAATAGATTGACAGACCCAGGCAAGAAGCAAGCTAAGCAGCAGAGGGGTGAGGCAGTCCCTGCTCCACTGGAGCAGACAACATAGCCTAGAGCTGCAAAGCATCCTGGTACGATGGGGGACTGCGAGCAAACTTGAACCAGGAAAGGATCTGGGACAGAAGTTTCATAAACCAGTTTGATCTAAACCAGTTAAGTCTGATATCCAACCAGGTTTATCTTAAGCTGGTTTTGGCCATTTTGAAAACGGTTTGTGTGCACTGAACTTCTATTCTGTTACAGGTTTAAACCAGTTTCCAATCATTTCAACTGGTTTATATGTAACTTCTGTCCCCAGGCAATAAGTCACAACAACAAGCCACCTGGTATATCAATATCGCAACATGACAGATAATCAGCCAGGATGACTACAGGGTGAATCCCAATCAGGAGGGTTCAGAACTCAAAATTATAAATGCTGATTCATAGATTCATAGATGTTAGGGTCGGAAGGGACCTCAATAGATCATCGAATCCGACCCCCTGCATAGGCAGGCAACAGTGCTGGGTCTAGATGACCCCAGCTAGATGCATATCCAACCTCCTCTTGAAGACCCCCAGGGTAGGGGAGAGCACCACCTCCCTTGGGAGCCCGTTCCAGACCTTGGCCACTCTAACTGTGAAGAAGCTCTTCCTAATGTCCAGTCTAAAATAGACGTAGTGGGGGCTATGTGATACTACAGATGTGTTCCGCCTACATCATACATCCTCTCTCTCAAAAACGAATTAATAATTGGCCGGGTCCTTACTCTGCTTCCTCAGAGCATGCAGACCTGAGTGAATTCCCGAACATGGTTTGAATTGACTGCTCCCACAACTTAAAGTGGAAGAAAGGAATCTTCAAGCAAAACATCCAACCCAAATTTGACTCTCACTAGGGTTTCCATTCAGAGTACCTTCAGCCCCAGCTCCCTAGCTTCCTCTATCTCAGG